GTAAAGAGATATAATATCCATGGTGAAAAGAAGTTTGTCTTGGCCAAGGAAATTAAAGTCGTGAAAAATTTGAAGAGCGTGTTGGCTGTCTTTGATATATAATGCTAAATTTTTGACGATGTCAGCCATAATTTTCTCTAAATAGCTGGAAATAAGTCCGGTAGGGTAACTGCGAGCCAAGACAATGGGCCGACCTGGGTTGTTAGGTTTGTGAATTTTAGGTAAAAAGTAAATACAAGAAGTTCCGGGAGTGGTTATGATGAGATTTTTAGCAGTGGCCGGCAATTCTTGTTTAGCTATGAGTTCGCTAATCGTATTTTTGATGGCGTTTTGATTAATGGAAGTGAGATCTTTGTCAAATTTTTGATAAAAGGAGTTGTCAGAAAGTTGCCGAAAGGAGTTGTCAGAAAGGAATGACTTTAGAATGAGGGCAACGGCCGATGAAATTGATGAGGCTACAAAACCTAGTTTTGGCGAAAGAGAGAATGGCTAAACGGAATGCTAGATCATGGAGAATGTGTCTACTGAGGTTAGGATGCAAAGGGCTAACATACCATTTCCAGGTGAATAGCCTTGGCTATTGTACCCGCTCTAGCGACCAGGCTGCTGTACGAGCGAACGACATACACGTGCTTGTTCCTGTAGGTAAAGGGTCGCAGGTATCGCTGATCAACATAACCAACCCCAATAATGAACACCTTAACGCCATAACGCCTGAACTGGGATGGAAGCCTACTGATAAGGTAGGAAGATCTTGCAGTCTGCTTGCCGCTGACTAACGCCACCAAGACCTTTCGGACGAAAGAGTACGTCGGCCTCCTTGCAAAAAAATATCGGAGAGAAGCTTGTAATCCGAGATCGACTCGCCGACCGGCTTGGTTTGGAAAGCGGATGTGATTTAAGGTTCTAAGTACCAGACCTAATGAGTTGCACTGGTTTAAACGCATGCGCAGATGTGGTCGGCTACCGTAAGTTGCCACACCAATGTGTGATTGGTGCTTGCTGATGGTGAAGCGACGGGCGATCGACTTGATAAAGGCCTTCTCAAAGTGGAAATTTCTGCGACCAACATAGCGCGAGCCATCGATCAAGAACGCAATATCAGCGGTAACACCAACGTGAGAGACACCTGTTGTATACGAAACATGAAATAAGTAGTGCTTTCACAATAGCTCCAACCTTCATGTCATTGCTTTTAAACGCATCACATCAAAAGAGAATACAGAAAAAAAGTTCATGAGTGAATACTCACTTCCAGCAGGGAATCTTGGTCGCACTGGTTTCGGACGCACTGGCCTGATTCTCACTGAAAGCGAAAAAAAGCCAAATTTTAGGAAGAACCTACCTCTAACGATACTCGAGAATAACGAATTAAGTTTGAATTCATTGTATTAATGATGCATCACAAATAGTTTTCTTTTTCTCTATTCCTGTGTCCCTAAGAGGTACTCAGGTTGATAAATTACACAACGCGCTTAAGCCAGCATGGCTGTTTCGTCCAGAACATTGTGTATGAATCATGCTAATATATTGGATTTCAGTGTAAATTCATTTGAGTTATTTCAGGAATTTTGCAGTTTGAATGACAAGGCTATACGCTATCCATTCTGAAATTGACAGTGAGTAAGTACCTAGCCTACAAGTTCTGATCAGTTCGATATTCAGTTTATATGACAAGCTTGACAAGCAAAACTGGTTCAAATCGGCTAACAGCTTTTACTTACTGACGCAATTGCCCCATTTCCTGTCACGATCATAGTTGGGTGTAATAGCGCACCACCTACGATTATGCCGAGTTCTTGTGCAGCTGTTATAACGACGGCCTTTGTAAATGAACGGAAATACTCAGCAATGTCGGCTTGTGGTTCGTTTCTTGCAGTACCCTTTTTTAAATAAAGAAAATAACAACAGCTGTCAGTTTTAAGTCTATCAAAGATAAAAAAACGAAAGGTTATGATATCCACTTGATTGTAATGGAAAACCCGTGGGAGGTAAGGTTAAAACAAATAAACAAACAAACGTACAGACAAACAACAAACAGACAACCCGAAAAAAACAAGTTGCTCGTTCAAGCTGTCTAATATCATTAGCGACCTTGCTTGAAGCAGCTATCACACGATAGTGTGCAGAGTATCCACCTAAGACAGAACAAATATATACAAAAAACGGGGGGTACTAYYKKAAAWTWWTTTTWAKSGGYWTWA